TTTTCTAAAATTTTACGTGTAACGGGGACACTGATAGCATCAATTTGCACCTTTAGAATTTTAATTAGACGTCTGTGGTTCCAACTGACTGAGATTTGGAATGGTGTACATTGATACTTTCAGTGTCCCTGAAATACAAAAAAAAAGTAAACCTCTTCAATCCCTTTAACTCTGTGATTATATTTGTATACGAAGTGTGTTTAATATTTAATATTTGTGTTGTTTTGTAATAATTTTGTGTTGTTATTAACTGTTTGGTGTTTAGGAACAAGAAAAATTTATACATGAAAGATCTATATTAGAGACTACATTACAAGATATACAATTACAATTAGATTTTACTAAACAGGTATGTAAACTGTATGTAAATAGGTACAGTGAGGGCATTACCCCTGTAGAAAATTTGTTTGCAACCTCTTTTGTACCCGCACCCCACTAAAAGTATGATTTTTATATGTTTTTGGCCAAAAATATGTCAAGACTGCGCCAAAATAAATAAAAAAAATTTCTAAAATTTTCTTGGGATAACCTTTGAGACTTTGACGCCTCCACAGAGTTGCCATATTTTGAATTTCAGTCTGGCCAGTTGTCCCCCTAATTTTCCCACTATTTGTATTTGCGAAGCCACTGGGCACTAGTCAGAAGAACTTGAGGGAATCTATTGTATGTTTGGAGATCAAAGAAGGTTCAGAGAGCAATTGAGAGTAAAAATTTAGAGAAGAATATAGTACTGTTGGAAATCCGGGAGACTTTTTGGGGAGATTTTTTTGAGCCATTCAACACAATAAGCATAATTATATTGTGCTACAAAGAAAAGTAGGCTTAGTTCCTAAAAAAAATCAGTAATGTATCTGAAACACCATTGCCATATAACCATTTGGTTAACCTTCTAGCTTTGAAAACAGAGATTTTAAGCAATTTATCTAGATTATCATGTTTTATCCTCACCACTTTAGGATTTGTCTCATATACAAGAGCGTAGTGATGTACAAGTTAATGAATTGCTGGCTCTAGCTACACAACATCTTGATCGAGCCAATCACCTCAATAGTAAATTACTAGATATCAGGAATAGTGTGGAATTTTTGAATAGAATTAAGGTTCTAGATTTCTAAAATCTAACTTATAAGATTTCTAAAATCTGACTCATTAGATTTCTAAAATCTAACTTATAAGATTTCTAAAATCTAACTTATAAGATTTCTAAAATCTGACTCATTAGATTTCTAAAATCTAACTTATTAGATTTCTAAAATCTAACTTATTAGATTTCTAAAATCTAACTTATTAGATTTCTAAAATCTAACTTCTTAGATTTCTAAAATCTAACTTATTAGATTTCTAAAATCTAACTGATTAGATTTCTAAAATCTAACTTATAAGATTTTGAAAATCTAACTTATTAGATTTCTAAAATCGAACTTAAAAGATTTCTAAAATCGAACTTATAAGATTTCTAAAATCGAACTTATAAGATTTCTAAAATCGAACTTAGAAGATTTCGAAAGTTATTAAATCAATTTTTTAGAAGATTCAACATGTCTAACATAATTTTTCTATTATCTAATATTTCTAATTTATAGTATATTTCCAATTATTTATTTCTTGTTTAATTAATATGAGATATCTAAGTTATTAGTGTCTTAGTGTATTTCCAATATTTTACTCAGTATAATTCCAGTTTGTAAGATATCAAACATAATTATTCCTAGTATATCTAATATTTCCATTATCTACTTGTAGTATATTTCCAATTACAATATGTCATATTTTCAATATTGTCAATGAACATAATATCAAATGTTAATCTGTTAAATATAACAATATGTATGTTTTAAACAGTAAAATGTGTTACATTTTTCTGCTCTTGAATAGAATAGTTATGAAAATCTGAAATAGCAAAATTATCATTTTTATGTTTATCAGTTTTAAGAAAATTTGATATTTATTGAATATAGCCAGAAGATATCAGTGAAGTTAAAGAAAATAAATTAATAGTAACTACCGAGCCTACAGCTTTTAGAGATAAATGGAAGAAGGAAGCTATGAAAGATAAACTAGTACAAGAACAAGATTATCTCAGGGTAGGTAAATAAATTGAAGTGGAGCTATTTGGCTGTGCAGTGTACAGTGAGGACAATTTTCCGAGGAGTATCATTACCCCTATTCTTCTTTTATTTCAAACTGTTAAAGGATCTCTAACTTGAAAAATCAGCTGGGACTGCTTAAACCCCAGCTCTCCTTCAATGATTTTGAAGAGCTGAAATCAGTCTCACTGTGGAAATTTTCTTTGATCTCTCAAATACTTTGAAGAGCAGTGATGGCCTACTGAGGTAAACGCTTGCTTGCTAACCTTGAGGTTCAATCCCGTAATAGTTGAAAATAATACCTCCAGATTTTATCAACCAAGTTTCAACTGTAGGTCGGATGGGCAAGCATGGAAAAAGCGTCTAATGGTTTGGATTGGAAAGGCCTGTGTGCTATACACTCAGAAAACATCATCTTGTATATGTATTTTGTTTCATTCTTAACTCTAACGTATTGTTTACTTTCAGTATCAATTACGTCAACAAATGGTACGGCATGCTGAGTCAATGGAAAAGACTAGACTGGCCTCCGAAGAAACTATTGATGGTTTAAAAAGGAAGCTGAATAATTTACAAGATGTTTTATTTAATACAACAGACAACCCTGATTTGATTGTTCTAGAACAATTGACTAGAGAACGCAGTAGAAGTCCATCATATAGGGTAAGACCTTAACAATATTCATTTCTTGAGGGTCAAGTTGAGAGCAGGAGTTCAGAGATCAGAGCAGCCGATTTTAAGGCACCGATTCAGGATTCAGGGGGTTGATCTTTGTCTTGAGTATATGTAAATAGTCTTCAAAAGTACTAGAAATGTACAAAAATCGTGTAATTCCTTCAAAAATACTTCAAACTTGGAATTTCCATTTATGGCAGAGTGTTCCTAAAAGGTGGGTTGTCATTTTAACATTTAAACGCAGATAATTCTGGACGCACATGGCTTTGAAGGCTAATATTTTGACAGTGATCTTTGAAAACTATTACTGATTAGCTTAGGTAAAAAATTCTTGACAGACCACAATATTACTGTCTAATTATTGTGTCTTATTTTCAGTCCAGAAGAAGACTAACCCCAAGCCCAGTAGGCAGGTCACCAAGGTCGGGTCATTTATATAGGTCACCTATGAGGTCAAGGTCAGGAAGTCCACACTTACCTGAGAGAGAATGTAAGTATTGGATAAATTGATAAAATTTTTTAAATACGTACATATGGATGTTCGGATATAATGCTATAATGTATTCTACTTATAGCGAGCAGGGCGTCTACTTTGGGAGCATCTTCATAATGTCAAGATATTACGAACTCTTGAACGTTCATCAAATTAACCTTTGACCTAGCCTTTTAAACACTGTGTCACAAACTACGAGAGCTGGAGAGGTTAGAAATTTGATTGGTTAAAGCAGACTTCATCAAAAGGTTTACTCGACGAAGAGGGCTGTTGTTAGATCTTAACTGAAATGGCTATATTAAAATTAAAAGCAAATAAAAAACGGAAAGAAAGGTTGGTCTAATTTAAAATTTGTGTTATTTGAATGATGTGGTTAAACCTATATTTTCAGTTCTGTGATCATAATACAAGATACTTAGAAAGGTTATAATACTGTTGATGATGTATGAGCTCTTCACCTTCACCAGGAGAAGTACAGAAAGGTATCACCATTACACTCCTGTTCTCCAGAATAGGTGAACATATAATGTAGTGCTACAATTTGAATGTCTTGTGAAATAGAACCAGTTCTATTTTAAAGTATATTGTGTGTGGTAGATTTATAGAATAGTCTCTAGAATGTCTTGTTTTAGTTTAAAAAGGTGAAAGCGTCAATTTACAAGGTTTCAAGGTATATTTTGAAAGTATTTATGCCTTAGTCTGAAAGAAAATAGCAAATTCAAACTAAGGCCAGACCAATTTATTTTCTTGTTTTACGGATCGATAAACTTCCATTATAAATATAATATATGATTTTTGATTAAATCAATACTGAGAAAGTAGGAAATTCCAGGCCAGACCTGGCTTTCATAGGTACTTTTTTTCTTTCTTGCCCTTTTCACAAAATATGGGCTTTATTTTCTTTTTTTCCTCCTGTCTTAACAGATTTTTCCTGAAAAAAAAATCGTAAAACAAGAAAATAACTTGGTCTGGCCTCATGGTTAAAATTTATATAAGCTTTTTAAAGTTTTGACAACTTTTTTTTCATGTTTATCATATTTTATCATAATTATTCTTTGCTATTATTGTGAATGGTAGAATCTATATGAGTACCATGGGGGTTTTCTTTTAAAAGAACTGTGCCTTTTGGATTACATTCCTATTGCCATTCCATCTATTTATTTATTTCAACCTGACCCAATTTAAATAATTTGTTGTATTTTTTCAAAAAAATGATTAATAAGATTAATTTATTAAGTAGGAGATTAAGATTTGTTTTAATGATTTGATCAGGTTTAACTTTAAGTCTATTCCATTCAGATGTAAAATGAAGAGGCTATTCAATTGAACTGTAGTAATTTCTGTATTGTATAATTGCGATTATAATACGCACCCCTTTAACTCTTGAGTATGTATTATCATTGCCTTAACAGATGAAATGAGTATCTCAGAGAATTTTTCATTATCCTTCAATTGTGTGATTGAGACTAGGCCTACAATATTGATGTCAAAATTCATTATGTATGATTTTTGGAGAACTGAAAGCCCTTTTTTTTAATTTATTCATTTTAATTATTCATTCCATTGTATTAATTCCTATTTTCTAAACTGTGATAATTTGGTTTGATTTAGTGACTTTTTCTGAATACTTTGTGAACATTTACAAACCAATCAGCGTTCCTTCAGAAAATTGTAGGAATAAGTCAATCAAATTCAAACCTATTTGTTATGCATTTTATTACTGTATTTGAAATCCGCTTTTATATTTTATCTTTTATATATATATATATATATATTTTTTGTATTTATTTCTACTGTATGTACATACACACTATTTATACTGCTTGTACACACTCTTTAAACTTATACTGTGTGTACAGACTACTTTCATGTACACTGCTTGTAAACATTTTTTTATTGCATGTACACAATATGTATACTGTATGTCGGCCTACACACTATTCATACTGCATGTACACACTATTTATACGGCATGTATACACTATTTATACGGCATGTACACACTATTTATACGGCATGTATACACTATTTATACGACATGTACACACTATTTATACGGCATGTATACACTATTTATACGGCATGTACACACTATTTATACGGCATGTACACACTATATAATATATTATGTATGTAGTACACACTTTTTATACGGTATTTTTTTTATTGTATTTACATAGTTATATACATGTACAATATTTATATTGTATGTACACACTATTTCAGAATCTTTGTTTATAATTATTATATTATATTACATTTAAACTGAATTAATTATATAATATTATATTATGTTACATCAAAGAAAGTTCGGTCTTTATTAAGTCTTTTATCTAATAATCTGACCGATGCAGTCATAATAGAAGCATTGAGGAATTCGTGAAAACTTAGACAAATTGGTATTTAAAATAGACGAATATGACGCGGAAAGAAAGTTCCGTGGCAGAGGCCCTATCTTTGCTCATAAGCAATCCAGAAAGAAGGCACAAGGACTGAAATATTTTTTAACCCAGTGAAATGGATGCATTCTTGTCGATTGGCTGGAGGGCGTTGTACCTGGCGAAAACGACGGTTCATGATGCCCTAGAGTTGTGCTGTGGACGGGTCTGGCGCTATCATGCGGATAAATGACCCCATGTGACTGATGTTGGGGGAATGGTATGACTGTCATCGATGCTAGCTGGGCAGCCAAGTTGCCATTAACGATAACCAGTCCTCTCCTGCCCACAGATTCCACTCCACATTATGACACTCCCTCGTACCATCTCTTAAATACCCCTTCGGCGCTAAACTCTCTGCATCCCGTCATCTCTGAACAAACAGAACCGACTTTCATCACTTTTATCAGCTGCCCCAAATATCTTCCTGGCAGCGACCGAAAAAACCTCGGGCAGACAAGTAGTGTTTTCACAGACTCGCACCTTAGCCCGACATCTCAACCCTGGACAAACCAGCCGGAGAAATAAAACAAATCAAAGGCATTGGAATAAAGTTCCCAGGTGTTCATAAAGAATAAAGCACAAAGTTCAGAGAGAGTAATATTTTAAGATAAAAGTAAAAAGTAACAACATTGAACACATTTTGGAGAAAAAGATAAAGATCTTGTAGATATAGTATTATGGAGCGTCGAACTGTCTTGCTCTGAAATGAAAGATAAAAACAGTTTAGTGGCCTAAAAAGAAATTGATGATGACTGGGACATAATCACTGAATGAAGTTGCTGAGATAAAACAACAAAGTCCAACACACACGCAATCGTGTGGTGCCTTAGTTTACCTTAGTCTAACAATACACCCTGTATACAGGTTAGCGTACGATTTTGACTAAGTTTACCCTATTCCTACAGAGTTAGACGAAGTGTATGTGGAAACGAACTTCGATTATGATTTACCTTGAACAGAAAAATAATTGACTAATATTAGTCTCCCTTTTTTTGTTTAGGAGAATTAAGGTGTTTTATCAAAATAATTGCAACACAGATTCCATAACCGCATTTTATTTTTGATATCTGTGGATAAAATTCTATCGACCAGGACGAATAGATAGACGACACCTTGTTTGAGAGCATAGATACAAAAAAATAATATTGTAGAAATTTACCTAAGCGCACGAATCACCGTTTCCACCACAGACACCACATTCATCAGTATACTTGCCACCCTGTGATATCAGTACACCGTCACACCCGAATTCCTGTAGGATTACAAAACAATCATGAAGGAAATGACTAGCGATACCTCATATTTTTCTGCTCATTCAAGTTAGAATTACAGGCGCTCGGCGCATGTGCGTGAATAACAGTTGTAATTTTGTTGAAACTTATTAGCCTCTGCTGATAGTTACCGTAGGAATGAAGCTTTAGAATGAGATGAGTATAAATTCAAATACATTGCAAATTACTAAAAAAAACACCCAAAACACCCGAAAAGATGAACTCTACAAACACTTACCATGCAAATCCCATAGGCACAATGAAAGGAATTGTCGAGTGCTGGATCAGAAACTCGACACCATGACCCATCAGGCATGAAACCTTTAGATTTAGAATCGTTACTATATCCACCGTCTAATAGAGCACACTTCATTGTACATACCAATACACCATCTGAAAATAATACAGTTATAAACACACACTACATGAGTATCGAATAGAACACATCTTACATACAAATACACCATCTGAAAATAATACAGTTATAAAAACACACTACATGAGTATCGAATAGAACACATCTTACATACAAATACACCATCTGAAAATAATACAGTTATAAACACACACTACATGTATCGAATGGAACACATCTTACATACAAAAACACCATCTAAAAATAATACAGTTATAAACACACACTACATGTATCGAATAGAACACATCTTATATACCAATACACCATCTGAAAATAATACAGTTATAAACACACACTACATGTATCGAATAGAACACATCTTACATACAAAAACACCATCTGAAAATAATACAGTTATAAACGCACACTACATGTATCGAATAGAACACATCTTATATACCAATACACCATCTGAAAATAATACAGTTATAAACACACACTACATGTATCGAATAGAACACATCTTATATACCAATACACCATCTGAAAATAATACAGTTATAAACACATACCGCATGTATCGAATAGAACACATCTTATATTATACCAATACACCATCTGAAAATAATACAATTATAAACACACAATGCGTGTATCTAATAAAACACATCTTACACACAAATACACCATCTGAAAATAATACAGTTATAAACACAGCTACATGTATCGAATATAACACATCTTACATACAAATACACCATCTGAAAATAATACAGTTATAAACACACACTACATGTATCGAATAGAACACATCTTACATACAAATACACCATCTGAAAATAATACAGTTATAAACACACACTCTACATGATAGATAGCTAAACACGTAGGAACACTTGATAAACGTTAATGCATATTTTCCCTCACATGTATTAAGTATTAAGTCTTCAACCTGATTAAAACTTTGTATATAAAACCATAAACACTCACTTTCAGTTTTCATATTAGGAGCACCGATACCAGAAAACTCTTCAGCATCGATTAAAGTCGAATTAATCTTTATTTCGCAAACTTCAGATGCACGGACTATTTTTTGATCATTGAAAACTTCACTATCACCGACACAAGGCTAAAATCAAACATCAAAATAGATAAAATAACATTTGGTAATAGTAAGTACGCTATATATAAGCCAGTTCGAAACTTTACTTATACATATTAGATCACTTTCCATCGCTGGCGCTGTCAATGAAACAGGTAAGAGGGACTTACATGGAAAAAGCACCATGTCGTTCGGATGGGACAATAAACCGAGGCTGTGCACGTGAAAGATCCCTCGACACTTGGAAATCTAAAAAGAGCAGGCTAATGCCGCTGTCCTGGCAAAATTCCCTCATTGCACCCTGCATGCAAATGTATAGGTCCGAACTGGCTTAAGTATTGTGGCAGTTTACGTTCGTATGAACAGAAGTCTAGCCTAATTATTGATCAATTCAGTTTCAAATAAAACTTCGACTTATCGAAAATTCATTCATATATTTAAAACAAATGTTACTTTTTTGGGGCATTGAAAGAGATAGCCACGGAATTATATACATGTAGTCTGTAAATTAAAACGAAAATGATGGCTTCGACGAAACATTACCATTACCTCATTTTCACAAAGTTCTGCTTTGAATGATGGTCCATCGCATAGTGGTGAATTTACTGGCCTGTAAGACATTGTAAATATTCTATTAACATCGGATACTTTTACAAACATTTTTCCATCAAATACATAGGCAGTGATACTCATTCTCAAATCTAGATACTTTCTGATTTACTTTCAGAAAAAAAAATTTAAAATCTTTTCACCCTTGCTTTTAATTTTAAAGTCTGGTTTTAGACAAATAAATAAATAAACCAAGCACTAACGACCCGACTTACTATAAGATTAGACCAATTGTAATCGATCAAAAAAAGCGTTGCTTCTCTTTAGGCAACATGGACCAATTTTTAAGAGTTTTGTCAAATTAAGTTTTTGGGTTAGTTCAGCAGCCATATTCAAAATGGCGCCCAAAATGAGTTTTTCTCAAAGAACGAGTGTATTATTAGATAGAGCACGGTTGTTGAGTGTGGAAAGCCAACCTTCAAATTTTAGTTTGGAGTGAAGTACCCCATAAATACATTTTTAATATGAAATGAAACACCAAGAGCTGTAAAATAATAATATAGGCCTTGGTCAGGCATGGGAAGGTAGATAACTTCCATGCTACTAGGAAAACTACTGAACTATTATGCAAGCATCCAAAAGCCAACATCACTTACGTAGGATTGTTGCACATTCTGTGTGAAAGTTTAACCCCAGTGCCACAAGTTCTTGAGCATTGACCATAGTCACTCCAATCAGACCAGCCGCCCATTACAACATTTGCCTCTAATTCTGTTACATTTCTACCACTTTCTTCCCATGTCATACAAGTCTTGTGAATACACATCTAGAAAGTGTAGAAAAAATGATACCGGTTTGATTCAGTTCACATAGCTTTCATCTAGGACACGGATACGGCATCAAAAGTATAATTCCCTGCTGGCATAATGGTTTTCAGAACTCAAATCCAACGTTCGTATCCCCCAAATTCAACAAAAACAATAACCGATAACATCTTAAAACCTTGACGTAGACTGTTTATTACACCGATGCCGATCATTTAACGACCATTCTTTGGCGTAAATAAAAGACAAAGGGCTGAGAGCCGACACTGGGCCGACTCTCGGCAGCACTGCCACAGGCATCAGAATTTCTCTCTTCCCTTGGGGAGGATTCGAACCCACGGCACCTAATCGCCTAGACGACAATCCAACTCGCTACTGACTGAGCTATTCCACTGCCATAAAAAGTGAGGATGTAAAAGATAATTCGTGACAACGATGCTCGCTGAATTAGTTGTTGTTATTTTATAGTTGTACAGAATGAAATTCATGTTGCAAACCATGCTGACTGGCAATAAGAAAATGAAGAATATCCCCACTTACCTGTCTATCACCACAGGATACACCACGTGGTATAGGTGAGCTGGCCTTTAGCATTCCACGTGTTGCATCATCACCCATAGATCTACATCTAAACTTACTACATATCTATATAAATATAAATCCATAATATAACTTATCGAGACAAATATAATACATAGTACAACTTATCTGGATAAATAAAATAATTATTATAACTTATCGAGATAGATATAATACATAATACAACATATCTAGATAGATATATAATTATTATAACTTATCGAGATAGATATAATACATAATACAACATATCTAGATAGATATATAATTATTATAACTTACCGATATAGATATAATACATAGTACAACATATCTAGATAAATATATGATTATTATAACTTATCGAGATAGATATAATACATAGTACAACATATCTAGATAGATATATAATTATTATAACTTATCGAGATAGATATAATACATAGTACAACAAATCTAGATAAATATATAATTATTATAACTTATCGAGATAGATATAATACATAGTACAACATATCTAGATAAATATATAATTATTATAACTTATCGAGATAGATATAATACATAGTACAACATATCTAGATAAATATATAATTATTATAACTTATCGAGATAGATATAATACATAGTACAACATATCTAGATAGATATATAATTATTATAACTTATCGAGATAGATATAATACATAGTACAACATATCTAGATAGATATATAATTATTATAACTTATCGAGATAGATATAATACATAGTACAACATATCTAGATAGATATATAATAATTATAACTTATCGAGATAGATATAATACATAGTACAACATATCTAGATAAATATATAATTATTATAACTTATCGAGATAGATATAATACATAGTACAACATATCTAGATAGATATATAATTATTATAACTCATCGAGATAGATAACTATGTAATATATGTTATAAAATATAATAAAATATATAGATATTTACAAGTTTTTATACAACTTATATAGACAAAATAATGTAATATATATTATAAAATACAAGTTTTTATTACTTCTCTAGACAAATATAATTTATCTAGACAATAATATAATGCATTTTAGAACTTATCTTCACCTTATAAACAACAATATCTACATCGAAGCTTCCTAACGATGACCCACTTCATACATTTCTCGCGTAAGCTTATTGAAATTAGACCAAAATCCTAGCGTTGGAGAGGGCAGGAATTTGATTGGCTGACGTTTTCATCAAACAGACGACAAATCGTCAAACATCAAAACGCCGTCTTTAGACCCTAACTAAAAACGGAACGAAAGTTTGGTCTAAAAAAAAAAAAATCTGAGAGATTGTTCTCTTACGGTCTCATTTTTTAATGCGTCAAGGGCTATAACTCATAACACAATTACTTACTGGATCAGAGGGTTCATACACAAAGTTTTCACCATATTTAGCAACACATAATTCATCAGGTAACATATATTGACCTAAAGACGGTAAACAATTACTATAATATATTACATTGAATTTTCATTTAGCTTTGGCTCATTAGTCTCAAACACCATCCACTACTGTTTTCTCCGGTTTGTGTTCATAGAATAAAGCGAAGGGGGTTATAATGGAGACGATTTAGCCCAGAAAACGGACCAGAGCGTTAGGTATCAGCGGAAAAACAAAATGTCTAAATGTAAGGGCTCAAGATGCCAATAAATACTGCTAAAAAGTATAAAGAAATGTTACCCGAGTATTTATCGTCTAAGTCGACCACATTAGATGTATTAACATTCTCTTCAAATAAGCAGTCGTATTTTGGACTTAAACTGAAAAAAACAAAACACATACAAAATAGTCAACAAGGTTCACCTTCATTATAGGGGTTGTATGCACGAGCTGCCTTTATTAAAAGAGGGAGTTATCCTAGTTATGAAATTTGTTTGTTTGTAAACTGTTTAACTTTAATTTTTTTGTAATTGTTGATGGACTATTGCTTGACAATGGCACTGTGAAATATACACTGTAAATTGTACCTGATTTTTTCTGTTAATCTGGCTTTATTACAGGAACTTAAACCAATAACACCAAATCCCATAATACCTCCATCTCCCGGACCACAGTAATCTTTTTTTGGATCGTTGTGTGGCAATCCCAAACTGATAATAGACGTACGTTCCACAAATTTATATTCCGAACACTAGGAAGCAAATGCTGAGAAAATCCGTCAATAAGACGTGTCATGATCTTTGTGAGTCGTGGCATGATCTATGTGAGTCATGGCATGATCTATGTGAGTCATGGCATGATCTTTGTGAGTCATGGCATGATCTATGTGAGTCGTGGCATGATCTTTGTGAGTCGTGGCATGATCTATGTGATTCGGGGCATGACTTATGTGAATCGTGGCATGATCTTTGTGAGACGTGGCATGATCTATGTGAGTCGTGGCATGATCTTTGTGAGACGTGGCATGATCTATATGAGACGTGGCATGATCTATGTGAGTCGTGGCATGATCTTTGTGAGACGTGGCATGATCTATGTGAGTCGTGGCATGATCTATTTGAGACGTGGCATGATCTATGTGAGACGTGGTATGATCTATTTGAGTCGTGGTATGATCTATTTGAGTCGTGGCATGATCTATGTGGGTCGTGGCATGATCTATGTGAGTCGTGGCATGATTGTAAGGGTCGGGAACTTTCGAGAGGGGTGTCACCACTTGAAGGCTTAATAATAGGAAAACTTTAAAATCCCCAATATCGTGGCTAGAGCGTAGTACGGACATGACAAGTTCGAGATAGACGGACATCGTCTTGGATCAGTCGTGGTGCAGTTGGATCATTCGTGGTGCAGTTGGATCTAAGTTGTCCTTAACCGTCGTGACAGTCGTGGAGTTTGATATGATAAAAGTTTTAATATACTATGTTTTACTTACTTATGTCCAATTTCATGTGCAGGACCTTTGATAGAAAAGCAATCACGCTTCCTTATTCCGGAACATTTGAGTGAAGTGCAGACACTACCCATCCAGCTCATCCCTAATGGCGTTCCATCTGAACGTCTACAAGCATAAACCAAAATAAAATAGCCTGGTGGACTCTCCAAAACCCAGTTAGTATGCATATTCCACTCATTCAGTTTGCTGACTGACAAAATTACTACATGGACTAAGCAAATGGGTAATACTTCATGTGAGATCATTGGTGATCCAATCTGCTAGTTGGTTTGACAAAGCGATATTATTGCAATTGGTAATCTAATATGCTGGCTACATTGGAATATTATTGAGATAAAAGGTGACTCGTTGATATCCCAATATGTTAGCTATAGTTTGACATGTGGATATAATAACCTTTGTGATCAATGGTAATTTTATCTACTAGCTAGTTTTACAGAGATATTTTATTACATTTATATCAGTAATAATACAATATGCTAGCCAGTTTGACAGATAGATTTTATTACATTTTTATCAGTAATGATCCAATCTGCTAGCTAATTTGACCAGAGATATTACTACATTTATATCAGTAATGCTACAATCTGCTAGCTAGTTTGACAGAGATATTTTACTACATTTATATCAGTAATAATACAATATGCTAGCTATTTTGGCAGAGGAATGTTATTTTATTTGAGATCAATGGTAATCCAATCTACTAGCTAGTTTGACATAGGACTGTTATTTTATTTGAGACCAATGATAATCCAATCTACTAGATAGTATGCCAGAGGAATGTTACTTTATTTGAGATCAATGATAATCCAATCTACTAGCTAGTTTGACAGAGGAATGTTATTTTATTTGAGATCAATGATAATCCAATCTACTAGCTAGTTTGACAGAAGAATGTTACTTTATTTGAGTTCAATGGTAATCCAATCTACTAGCTAGTTTGACAGAGGAATGTTATTTTATTTGAGATCAATGATAATCCAATCTACTAGCTAGTATGCCAGAGGAATGTTACTTTATCTAGCTAGTTTGACAGAGGGATAATATTACATTTGTACTGGTGGCACACTGCACTCTGCTAGCTTTTTTTATAGGGAATATAAACACGAGGTCAATGGTTGCATAAATGATATAGTGTAACAATCTAGCTGATGAAATGGTTGAAAAACTGAATGTTAAATATACTAACCCAAGTTGTAAATGTACATGGTCATAAGGCCAGTTATTTTCTTTTGCATGGTTACAAACAAGTCTTGTAGTTTGACCAACTTTTATTGTTGATGTATAGAATGACTGAAAAGGGAAATGTAAAGCCAGTGTTTGTACACTAGATCCGGATGCGAAACAACATCATAATAATCTAGAAACTCATTGAAGAAGAGGCCAAAGTCGGAATTTCGTTTTGTAAAATGATATGGACGATAAAGAAAATACATAGACTACTTAAAACCTGTAATATAAATCAAAGCTTACCGGATCAGTCTCCCACATGTCAACATATTTCAGAGAAATTTTAACATCGTAACCCATTAGTTCCTTATCGCTCCAGATTGCTTGTACCTACAGAATAGAATAGAAACTAGAATTATCAAAACAGAACTTGAATTATGTTGTTACTCAGGGTTTCACGTTATGCGATCTTCACACAACCATATCGCTCTACACTTGATGTATTGAGCACTATTGAGAACAGTGAAAATATTTAATTATATTATTGTAGAAACTATAACTGTGAATATCTCTGAGCGTGACAATATGCCTTGTCCGATGGCTTTTGGATGGAACCTTTAGCCTTTTAAACCTTTTAGATTTCTTTTCTTTATATGGTAAACTGTGAACACCATTACTAATTGGCTTAGGTAAAAATACGTTTTTGAGACTGGATACGTGGATGGCGAATCTGTCCCTTTAAACTTACCCCTGTCCATTTAATAAGCATGTAATCTAACCAGTCATCGTATTCTGCATGACCTAGACCTTTCATAAAGGAAACCATATCAGCATCCACAATCAAAGCTGTTTCTACTTCAAAATTATCTGGTCTATCCACCGAAGTTTGTACAGCTCGTTTGCCTCTTACAGATTCTTCCAAATCTTCAACATTATCGCCTTTAAAAAGGTATTGTAATATAATAACAATATAATTCAAAATACATGTATATTTTCTTTACTATAGATAACAATAATAATTGAATGAAAATTGCAACCATCAGTTATGGATCACTTCCATTGGCAGGTCTGTTCTTTCGTTTTTATTGATGGCATTCTGCATGATTTAAGAAAAAATTCCGAAACTTTCTGAGTGGCTTCAGGTATTCCATACGGATGAGTAGCTACAATCCAAAAAAAATGGATTTCACCCCCGAAAAAAATCAGACAACCGACCAATTCTCTTACTGCAACTAAACACCAAACACTATTGACCCTCCGGATATATTACTTGCCCCTTCGGACAATCAAGTCTGGCTACGGTTCTAAGGAAGAGTATTTATTAAATGCGGAAAAGTTAACTTGTTGATGAAAAATCTGCTCACTGATTAGATGCTATGTCGTAAGACGTGGCTACCTACCGACAAAATCTGAATTTTCTTCAGAACTACGTTTTGCTATAATAAATCTTTTTTCTGAGCGTTTATTTCTGTGGTTCTTCAGTTCATCCAATGTTTCAATGGCGTATTCGTAACCATCGTGATGGAAAACACCTCGCTGAAATGTAAATTTCACACATTCAGTACTGATGTACAAGGCAAAAGGCAAATTTGGTAATGGTTCTGTAGTAAGATGGTATTACTATAATTTTAATTCACGAATAAATATTATCACACTTCGACAGTAAGGCTAAATGTGATTGAGCAATCCGTATTTCAAAAGAACACGTAGTAAAATTGAAATGATAGTTAAAGAATAATAGTGACGAAATTACCATATTGCAAAGCTAATGGTAATTGTGGTAAAATAAGAATATAGCCATTTCATCCACTCAAAATAATAATGATATTGTAAAATCATGGTTAGGGCCATTCGACAGTGAGTAATGGTAATTGTAGTAAACTTAGTAAGCAATGTTACATTAAAAATAAAAGTAATATTGTAATAATATGGTTAGTAATTCGACATCGTAATGGTAATTGTAAAATTAGTAAGCAACCGTAATTCAACAGTAAGTAATGGTAACTGTAGTAGAATTAGTAAGTAATTTTATAGTAAAACTAATAGTAATATTGTTATATTATGGTTACCGTATTTCGACAGTAAGAAATAACAGCCAAATTATGGCCTGGTTTATTTGATAATATACAGTTAACATCTCTCTTCTTCATTTCAATCTGATGATCGCCAAGAGATCGAAATAATTTAGCTTCGGGATGTAAAACGGATCTATAAAAAAAATATAAAGGTAATTCAAAAATAGGCAGAGGCAAAACTGGTAAAATGTCGTTACTGCAAATCGTCGTTTTTCTGACATAATTCTGTCAATTCCATCTCAATTGTAATTGATTCGGCCAAAGTGGCAGTGTTTGTCAATTTACATTGCAAATTAGATAGCATCATATTTATATAAGCTCTCAGATTTCTTATTTTAATGCAGTCTCTAGTTACTCAACTAGATGTTCTCTCTATATTTTCTTCTGGAGTATAGGGCCCTATTGCGGGTTGGGGCCAATGGACTTGATTCAACCAGTCCCTATGGTAGTTGAGTCACTAACAGCCTCAATGTAGACCAACCACCTGATTTCGAGAAATATGGTTAGATATCATGAAAGAAAGCTAGTCTGTAATGAGTAAAACAAATTTCAATCCAGTTTACCTGGCATGTCGAAGATGTAACTGAAACTCGTGACCTGTTTCATCAACTTTAACATTTAAATGAACATTTTCACCATCACCAGTTGATCGTCTGTCTCGAAGTCTTCCTTCATCAAAACTACAATAGGAAAACAGATGTTATTTTCTTTACTAGTAATATTTGGTATAGATTACCGTTAACTGCCTTAAAGGAATTTTAAAGATATATAGTTCCTGCAATGCACTCAAACTGAGCGTTTTATGACGTCACTAATCGCAAAGTCCTTTTGTGATACAGCATAATATATTTTGCGATTAGTGGCGTCATCAAACACTTAGGATTAGTGGAATTGCAGGAACCACTGATTGAAAAGTGGAATGGCGCAGTTGATGCTATCAGTGTACATACAAATTTTATAAAACCTCTTTACAATTCCTTTAAATGTTTACTTCAAAAGATGCGTCCTTGAGTTTTTATTTTTATACAGATAGCATTTGCGACACTCCTTTTACCAAATCATTTTAAATTTAATTATATTTATTGATTTACATCATCTTTTTTTAAACAAAAAAATAACTGTCAAACAGTACAATCTATACTTAAATTACTGTACAAAATATTTCGTTCCGCTTAATTCCCATTTTTTATTTGTTACAAGATCTTACTTTTATATTAAAGGCATATTTGACAATTCAGACAACCAACAGGCATTGTTTGTTTCGAGTTTGTATATTATCGAGTATCAGCATGTACATGTACATTTTTTATTTTAATTGATAGGTTGAATTGATGAACAAAAGTTTCTTAGCGATGCTATCAGATCGGGAATGAGTAAACTAACGCACAGAATTAAAAAGAAAGAAATATAAAAATATGTTTTGTTTGGCTTGCTTTAGGAATTTAAATCGGGTTTTTTTCCCGACTAATACAATTTTGGGGTTAGTGACGTCATAATAAAATCAAGGAGAATTCTATGTTAATTTGAGCTCTGTTTAACTACTAAATACTAACTAAAATTGAATTATTTTCTACCTTTCAGGTCGTCCATCAGTAATCTCTGATATAGTAGCTGTACCAACATGTTCGAACCCAACTATTGAAATAGAAAAGAAATTATATTATTTAATCTTTCAATAGGTGCATTCATACGAAACTACCGAGCCCAAACTATACACATCCAGCATATCGTGACTCACGCTCACCGTGACATTTTAGTTAGATACACAATCAAATGATTAATTATATACATGTAAAACATTAAAACATAACATTATATACTAAATTAACCTACCACTACGAAGATATCGCAACCCTTGGTGATTTTCATCCACTCCCTGTAATTTTAATAAATAAAGTTGTCTAATAACTTGCTTTTCAGATTGAATTGAACGAGGTAAAGGGACAGGCGTGCCATTTGTTTTTTTTATTTTTGACCAATCATACCTTAGTCTCAGACATGAGAATTTTTTTTAGCTAAGCCAATCAGTAAAAGTGTTCACAGCTCACCGTCGAAATTTGAGTCTTAGATCAGTGTACCCATAATCATCCATGTTTGAAAGTTAAAAATGGAAAATAAATACCTATGTAGTTTGAGATACTTTTGAAAGAATTATGCGTTTTTCGCACATTTCAAGTACTTTTAAAGACTATTTACGCTTATATGATATACAATGGGATAAAAGGAAATAATTTCAACTGACAGTAATCACAGTAGTTCAATTTTGACGTGTAAAAATTCAGAATAATTAGTCCAACCTACACATCGAATTGACAAAACCAAGTCTCAGATTGTAATGGGATGCTGCGGGAGAGAAACCACTCAATGGTTCTCGCGTATCTATATCTGAAGCATTGACGCATTTATCGGATAGGCTAACCCTTAACTCCCCCCACCCCTCAGGTCTGTGAAAGGTCAATGGGCACTTTATGAAGACACCTCTCATACACTCCTTCATCTCTCGGGAAATTTCTACATACGCAACCGATCTGAAGTCTAAGTGTAGTAACACATAGAAAGAATATTTAACGCAATTATCAATCAGATGTAAATAATTTACAAACCTTGCAAAATGACACACAGAGTGCCAAGAACAGCAATTTGAAATTTAGAATAGTCATCTCTTGTGCTGAAATGAAATATTTTATATTTGTAATTCAGTTTCTAGATACCACGGTGAGGAATAAAATGTTTTATATTTGTATTTTACTGTGTCTAGATACCACGGTGAGAAATAAAATGTTTTATATTTGTAATTTATTGTTTCTAGATACCACAGTGAGAAATAAAATGTTTTATATTTGTAATTCACTGTGTCTAGATACCAGCGAGAGAAATGAAATGTTTTATATTTGTAATTCACTGTTTCTACTTTCTAGATACCACGGTGAGAGATAAAATGTTTTATATTTGTAATTTGGTGTGTCTAGATACCACGGTGAGAAATAAAATGTTTGATATTTGTAATTTGGTTAGTCTAGATACCACGGTGAGAAATAGAATGTTTTATATTTGTAATTTATTGTTTCTAGATACCACAGTGAGAAATAAAATGTTTTATATTTGTAATTTGGTGTGTCTAGATACCACGGTGAGAAATAAAATGTTTTATATTTGTAATTTACTGTGTCTAGATACCACGGAGAGAGATAAAATGTTTTATATTTGTAGTTCACTGTGTCTAGGTACCACGGAGAGAAATAAGATGTTTTATATTTGTAATTCACTGTGTCTAGATACCAGCGAGAGAAATGAAATGTTTTATATTTGTAATTCACTGTTTCTACTTTCTAGATACCACGGAGAGAGATAAAATGTTTTATATTTGTAATTTGGTGTGTCTAGATACCACGGAGAGAGATAAAATGTTTTATATTTGTAATTTGGTGTGTCTAGATACCACGGAGAGAAATAAAATGTTTTATATTTGTATTTTACTGTGTCTAGATACCACGGAGAGAGATAAAATGTTTTATATTTGTATTTTACTGTGTCTAGATACCACGGAGAGAGATAAAATGTTTTATATTTGTAATTTACTGTGTCTAGATACCACGGAGAGAGATAGATTGTTTTATATTTGTAATTTACTGTGTCTAGATACCACGGAGAGAGATAAAATATTTTATATTTGTAATTTGGTGTGTCTAGATACCACGGTGGGAAATAAATTGTTTTATATTTGTAATTCACTGTGTCTAAATACCAGCGAGAGAAATGAAATGTTTTATATTTGTAATTCACTGTGTCTAGATACCACGGAGAGAAATATAATGTTTTATATTTGTAATTCACTGTTTCTACTTTCTAGATACCACGGTGAGAGATAAAATGTTTTATATTTGTATTTTACTGTGTCTAGATACCACGGAGAGAGAGATAAAATGTTTTATATTTGTAATTTACTGTGTCTAGATACCACGGTGAGAAATAGATTGTTTTATATTTGTAATTTATTGTGTCTAGATACCACGGAGAGAGATAAGATGTTTTATATTTGTAGTTCACTGTGTCTAGATACCACGGAGAGAAATAAAATGTTTTATATTTGTATTTTACTGTGTCTAGATACCACGGTGAGAAACAAAATGTTTTATATTTGTAGTTCACTGTGTCTAGATATCACGGTGAGAAATAAAATGTTTTATATTTGTAATTCATTATTTCTAGATACCACGGTGAGAAATAAAATGTTTTATATTAGTAATTCACTGTGTTTAGATACCACAGTGAGATATAAAACGTTTTATATTTGTAGTTCATTGTTTCTAGATACCACGGTGAGAAATAAAATGTTTTATATTTGTATTTTACTGTGTCTAGATACCACGGTGAGAAATAAAATGTTTTATATTTGTATTTTACTGTGTCTAGATATCACGGTGAGAAATAAAATGTTTTATATTTGTAATTTACTGTGTCTAGATACCACGGTGAGAAATAAAATGTTTTATATTTGTAATGTACTGTGTCTAGATACCAAGGTGAGAAATAAAATGTTTATATTTGTATTTTACTGTGTCTAGATACCACGGTGAGAAACAAAATGTTTTATATTTGTAATTCACCGTGTCTAGATACCACGGAGAGAAATGAAAGTTTTATATTTGTAATTCACTGTTTCTAGATACCACGGTGAGAAATAAAATGTTTTATATTTATAAATCACTGTTTCTAGATATCACAGTGAGAAATAAAATGTTTTATATTTGTAATTTACTGTGTCTAGATACCACGGTGAGAAATAAAATTTTTTATATTTGTAATTCACTGTGTCTAGATACCACGGAGAGAAATGAAATGTTTTATATTTGTAATTCACTCTGTCTAGATACCACGGAGAGAAATGAACAGTTTTATATTTGTAATTCAGTTTCTAGATACCACGGTGAGAAATAAAATGTTTTATATTTGTAACTCACTGTGTCTAGATACCACGGAGAGAAATGAAATGAAATGAGTTTTACGTCCTACCTTTTTGCACCGTGTGGGCTAATGAAAACGGGCAACGCCATGCA